TCATTCGACGACAAAAAGTGGCAGACTAGCCCGGGCTCGAGACATGCCACCCCCCAAACAGCGCAGGCCGGCCCCCCAGACATGGACCGTCCCACCCCCCCCGGCGGCGCCCCAGAGGGAGCACAGGCCACCCCCGCGCAGGAAGGCACCCACCGAGGAAACGGCCAGGCCCCGGGCACCAGAGCCCCAGACCCCCACCCAGGCCCGCACCGAAGAGGCCAACCACCCATCCCAGGGCCAGCCCCCGCCACCACCGGCACCCCAGACCCCACGCCCCATGACCGCCAGGCAGCACCCGCCCAAGGCCCACCCCACCACCACCAGCCAGGGCAGACACCCAGACATCACAGGACGGCAGCCACAGCCCCCCCCAGCTCCAAGAGGCCACTAGTCGCCCACAGCCCGGGGGCCCAACCCCGCCACCCGTCAGAACCCCAAGGGGACGAGACCACAGCCGACCACCCCCCCTACGTAATGGAATTGGCCAGAATGGACCAGAGAGGATCCAATCTGCCCAATTGATTTTTTTGGAGGGAATTAGACATTCTCTCCAGAGAATTAAATTTCTATACTGAGTAATACATAAATTATTTTTTGATTTCCAGTTCATGAAGATAGTTTTCTTTGCAATGCCTAAGGCAGTAAGGATCATGTGCGCTTTATTTTCTTCCATATCTAATATACTTGCATCACCTAAAATGCACAATGTAGGTGAGGTTGGGATATAGCAATTAAACCAAATTGATAGATCCTCACAAATCCTTTGCCAGAACTTCTGAACTGGGGTGCAGTACCATATGGCGTGCATGTAGTTCTCTACAAAGTCACCTGAGCAGTGGGTGCATAGGTTGAGTGGATAAGGCCCATTTGGAACATCCTTTGTCCTGTATAATGAGTTCTATGCAGAGTTTTGTATTGTATAAGCTGTAAGTTCGGGTTTTTAGTCATTTTGAAGGTGTTTAAACATATTTTTTTCCAAAAGTTTTGATCTGAATCAATGGATAGATCTTGCTCCCATTTTGAGATTGGAAGGGAAATTGAGTCATCCATTTTTGACAATACCTTATACATTTTTGACAGTAATTTGGGGCTAGAAAGATTTAAAAATTCTAGCACACATGGAGGTATTTCCAAGTTAAACTTTTTAAGATTGAACCTTGCCTGAATAATGGACTTCAGTTTCTGGTACTCAAGAAATTTACTGTTGCTAATTCCGTATTTTGAGACTAGTTCGTCAAACTAAATAAATTTCCTGTTTTGAATAACATGTTCAAGATTTCTAATCCCTTTGTCATGCCATGAGGGAAAGTTCAATGTTATCTTTTTTCGGCAAATATCTGGATTGTTCCAAATGGGTGTCAATTCACAAGGGATAAGTGGAGACAACAATAATTTCCAGTATCACATTAATAACATCACCCGGTCTTCATATTTCCACCTACGTAATATTAATCGCCTACGTCCTTCCCTTACCCCACATTCCACTGCTATTCTTGTTAACATGTAACAGTCTTGTTACCACTCGCTTGGATTATTGCAATTCTCTTCTCTTTGGTCTCTCTAAGAAATCCCTTTATAAGCTACAATTGGTACAGAATTCCGCTGCCCGTATTATCACCCGAACCCCCTCCGTCCACCACATCACTCCCATTTTGAAGGAGCTTCACTGGCTGCCAATTAGGTTCCGTATTGACTTTAAGATCTTGCTGTTAACATTTAAGGCCATCCACAACCTTGCCCCTCCATACCTGTTTGACCTCCTACAAGTTGCCACTCCCGCTCGCACCCTCAGATCGTCGTCCTCCATCCATTTCACTATCCCCTTCGCTCGTCTGGCTACCATGGGGAACAGAGCTTTCAGTCACTCAGCACCTCGACTCTGGAATGCATTACCATCGGAGCTCAGAAACATTGACTCACTTCCACTGTTCAAATCGAAACTTAAAACCCACCTGTTCAAGCTGGCTTTCTCTCTGTGAATTCAGTTGCTTTGTTTAATTTAACTTGTGTTTTTAATCTTGTATTTTGCATTATCATGGTTTTATATTGTTCTTTGCATTCACTGTACGGTGTCCTTGAGTGTTTAGAAAGGCGCCTATAAATAAAATGTATTATTATTATTATTATTATTAGAAACATCCACTGCCATTTTTTTGCATTTTTTTAAATGTCTGTAATAATTTATTTACATAAAGACATTAAAACCTTTTTTTTCTAACTGAAACTACAAATCCCTTACTGTACTTAACCCCACATACATACATAGACACTCATATATTATTTTTAAGACCTCAATGGCAAAAAAGTACCTAGTTTTATCTCTGTAATAGTACATAGACAGTAGAGTAAACAAGACAATTCAAATATGTTGCATTACGAAAGAAATTTTGTAATATAAATATGCTTTGTATGTACTTTTAATAAACTGTGAATGGACTGAAATGGGACTGATTATGCTTGAAGGAACAGAAAATGATTTATGTAAAGAGATTATTTTCCCTAGCTTTACTAACATACAGACAAGCGAAAACAGTAGGTGGTGCCATTGTAAGCACTGGTATGTAGTAATAAGGAGACCTTTTACAGAGCCAACAAAGTGATAGTTATTAATCACTAGCTTTTTGTGTTTCTTTTAGGAAATTACTGTCCATGTTTTTATTGTTACTGGGAAATTACAAGCTCCCTGCCATATTTTTCACATAATTTATTGAAAGAAGCTGGAACTTATGCTCTGGAAGTTTCCACAAGTGGAAAATCTGAAGCCAGTCATGATTATACTAAAATATATATACAAATGACAAATGTTACATATTTACAAATTCAATATCAAAAGGTACTGTATATACATCCTGCTCATGGGACATATAGACAAATATAACCTTTATCAAAAATTATGCTACCATTTTTACTGAGATATTTTCAAATGTACATCCTATTTACAGAATAAAGATAGATCACTAAGCAACTTTTTAAGGCTGGCATATCCATCTTGTGGGGTTTTGATGGTATGCAAACTTCTTCCTAAAACAAAATGTCAGAAGTTAGTAATACAGTCAAACACAAATACTTTATGGATGACACAAGCCAGACACAAACACTCATTATATGATGTTGTAGGTAATTGTCATGAAGGTATGAATGCTTCCACATTGTTTATGCTCATTGCAAGCTATATTCTACATTACATTTTTCAATGTTTGTAGACCCTCATGATCATACCAATGTTAAAATGCAAAAGATACGGTCTGATAAGACCTACATTTTGCATTTTAACGTTGATATGGTCATGAAGGTCTACATTTTGCATTTCAACCCTGATATGACCATGAAGGTCTACATTGTCCATGGAGGTCTACATGATTCCTGAAGGTCTGCCTCATTCACCAAGGTAGTAAGGTAATGGAGTCACTCACTGTCTGTGCTGTTGGCCAGCATCGCTGCGGCACAGCAGTCCCTCCTCACAGGGGCAGATCTGGTTGATGCTGAAGGCCAGGCCCCCATCGGGCACGAAGCAGAGCTCTCCCTCTGCCAGGCGGCGCTTGCAGACATGCTCGCCATGGTGACGCGCACAGCACATGGAGGGGTTGCAGTCCCTGTCTGCCCTGCACCTGGCACCTGCAGGCGGACAGGCCACACATGCGTTGCTCACCTTGCTTAGTGTCAAACGTCCCAAAACCTGAAGGCAGTCTGATCATAAACTCAGTATTGCTCTAATAAAGTGTAAAGACTATGAGATATGTCTTTAAAAATATCTTTAAAAAGAGTTACACTTTCACATGAAAAGGTGTTTGATTTTTTAACTCATCCCTCTTCTACAGAGGTAGTAAAACCCAGGCCTCTTTACCTTCCTGTCCCTCGGGGGCCCTGTGGTGACACTTCCCAAACATGCAGCTGAGGCCGTGCATACACTGCGCGTCCTGCCGGCAGTACTGGCCGAACTGCCTGAGGGGCACACACAGCCCGAAGTGCTGGTCACAGGAGAATCCCTCTGCACAGGCACCGTCATGGACACATGCCATCTGGGTTCAGGAAAGACAAGGCCCACGTCAGCTGTGGCACATTCCATTTCACTGGTGCAATCTGCAGGCTGCCACACCCCCTTTATTTTTGGTGATATGGAGCACAAGGGGGCACTGTCTGCTGGAGTCACTGGGGCAGACAAATGGCCACAATTAATCCTGCACTGTTTATTCTGTGTAATGTCTTACACTTTTAATGTTTATCTCCTCTGCTTGGCTGTTGATTATGGGGATGGTTAAATTTGCACCTTGAGCTGAGTAAACAAAAGTTTCAAAACTTGTTTCCTGAAAAAAAAAATGTTTTCATACTGTTTCTACTGGGTCAAACCCTTGCAGTAATTAGCAAAGACTCACTACTATAACTTAAGAGTGTGAGAGGTGTGAGCAAATATACACGATATTGTAATCTGAGTCGTCATTAACTTGATAAACTGACTGCCTTATTTCAAAACTGGACAACGTTAACTCTGGGTAGCAGGCAGGATGGTGGCACGGGCTGTGGACTTCACCAGTTCAATTTCCTGGAGATACTTTTTAAAGTATCCACTTATTCAAACTGATTAAATAGTGATGCACCACTTTAGATTAAAGGGTCAAACTATGCAGTGAGGTAATTGAAGTTGTTAACACAGAATACCATAAATCGGACCTGGAGGATCAAGTAAGTAAATTCAGGTAAATTTAATATGCAAGTAAAGGAATGTGAAGTTGGTTTCTTGCATAAGGTATTAATAAACACAGAAGGACTATTATTAACAGAGATAGAGTATTAATAAACTCACCTTGGATCCTGGTGCTTTGTCGGGGGCTGCTGTATTTCGGTGCTCCATGGTGCCCTCTTCAGAAGAACTATAAGGAATAGAGAGCATCCAGGCCCAGATATGGGCCTGAGCATGTGGCAGGGCCAGACCCAGACAGAACAGTGCCAGGGTCCTACTCATTTCGGACAATTCCATACACAAATCTAAAAAAGAAATCTGCAAGAGGCAAGGGGATTCTACCCAGAAGAGGACAGGTGAAGGACACAGAATGTGGCCAGAGCTCAATCAAATGCAGCCCTGGACAGAAATCTAGGAAAGCGTGCAAGGAAACCTACAACAGGAAAGCTGATGAGGGAAGAAAACCGGCAGCAGCAAGTTCTGGCTGAAGAAAATGGCTCGTGTGAAGGTCTCTTCGCATATCCTGTCTTTTATATATGGGCTTGGCTTCTCCCTTTTCCACAGTGCTGTTTGCCTAAGCCGTGGTGTAGGAGGAGACAATTAGTGGTTAATGGATTATCTTAATTGGACGTTCTACCCCCTGGGAGAAAATTGAGGGATTGGGGGAGACCTAGGCTTGCGTAAGTTGTGGGCAAACAAGTCTGTCTTAATGAGAAACAAAGGCAGGGTAACAGGTTGCTTGTATTGGCAGGTTAGGAGCATCCATGGTCCAAGGTGGCTGACCCACCAACTTTCATGAAAGAATTGTCATGATCAATTTCTTTGCCTTCCTTGTTTTTGAATTATTGTGTGCAATGGATGTACTGATGGTATTGCACCCATATATAGCACCTTGTGGCGACTCTGTTGTGAAAGGCACTATATTAAAATAAACTGAATTGTACAAAATTGAATCCTGCCTCATACTGCGGGGTGCTCCCTGTGTGATTGTAGGCTCTCACTAAACATACAGTGGGGAAAATAAGTATTTGATATACTGACAATTTTTCAAGTTTTCCCACTTACAAAGAAGGGAGAGATCTGTCATTTTCATTTTCATAATTTTCACCTCAACTGTGAGAGACAGAATCTTAAAAAAAATCCAGAAAATCACATTGTATGATTTTTAAATAATTAATTTGCATTTTATTGCATGAAATAAATATTTGATAGAAAAATAGAACTTATAATTTTGGTACAGAAACCTTTGTTTACAATTACAGAGGTCAGACATTTCCTGTAGTTCTTGACCAGGTTTAGCACACACTGCAGCAGGGATTTTTTTTAGATTCTGTCTCTCACAGTTGAGGTGTACGTATACGATGAAAATTATAGCTCTCTCCATTCTTTGTAAGTTGGAAAACTTGAACAATCGGCAGTGTATCAAATACTTATTTTCCCCACTGTAGTTATCATGAATTATCTCCCAGTGGATACAGACAAATGGAGGTGGGCGGTGATACTGACAGATAGTTATGAAGTAATGGATGAGTCCTTTTTACTCATCCGCTGAAACTGAGTAGACGTCTTTCAAGATGTTATTGCATATGTGAGATATTGGTCCACTGGACCAATCTCACGGGACAACATGTGAACATGTGAAAAATAACCAGTGACATCAAACACAACCCATTAGACCTTACTGAGTCTGTGTCCCTAAAGTAGAATTCTATTTCAGGGATTAATCACGCTAATAAGAATTAATGCCTGTGCAGGTCACATTATTAACCATAAGTCTCATAAATCTCGTAGTTTAAAAATCATACCAAACATGAGACTGATTTGCTTAATGACAAGATCCCCTGTGCAATCAAAAGCAAAATGTACATAATAAAAAAAAAGATTCAATTATATGCCTCAGCTCTGGATCGAGACATTTTCTTTTATATCTGAAGCAGCTGGGAGTCAGACAGATGAATGGAAGCCATTTAGGATTCGCTACATACTGTAATGGTTTCATTGTTGGTATCTTCAATAAAGTATGACAAGAAAGCCCTGATGTGCGAGAAGGGCCAGGCTGGCAGGTCCTGAGACGGGCATCTCATGGGTTTGTGTCTCACCAGGTGAGAACCTCTGCTTGTCAGCTTCCTTCAGCAACTAGAAGGGATGATCAGACTGCATCAGTCCACATAAGAACATAAGAACTATACAAACGAGAGGAGGCCATTCGGCCCATCGAGCTCGCTTGGGGAGAACTTAACTAATAGCTCAGAGTTGTTAAAATCTTATCTAGCTCTGATTTAAAGGAACCCAAGGATTCAGCTTGCACTACGTTATCAGGAAGACTATTCCATACTCTGACTACACGCTGTGTAAAGAAGTGCTTCCTTAAATCCAGTTTGAAATGTTCTCCCGCTAATTTCCACCTATGGCCACGAGTTCTTGTATTTGAACTAATGCTGAAGTAACTATTCGGTTGAACAGCATCCAAACCTGTTAGAATCTTATAGACCTGGATCATGTCCCCCCTCAGTCTCCTGGCATGAACATCTATTTGTACTGTGCTGCACTCTCTCTTTTAAGAGACAGCTAATTTATCAGTTGCAAGAATTTGTTATTAGTTGTGTCCAACCTGCTTGCCACACTGCCACCATCACTCTCACCAGGAGAAGTGGTGTGAAGATGAGATGCGATGAGCTGTGGAATAAAGCTACCCTTATTTAGGTTGTCTGCTGTACTGACACACAAAAAAAGGTTTATCTTGTAACAGCAAACATATAACATACTGGTCTACTAAACACAAAGAGGTACATTACCTGAAAAAGATGCCAATACATAAAAAATGTATAAAAATATACATAAAAGTATAATATAAAATTATTTGCAAAAAATGTTCCTTAAAAATGAGCTCATTGGAACTAAAGATATTTGGTGTAATCTCACAATGTAATCTTTTTAGGATGTGACAACTCTAATGGACTGGCCTTGTTTGGGGATGTTAATTAAGCCTAGGGTAATTACACCAGAATGCATAACACCTGCAGATCCTTGACACTGTTTGTTCACAGAGATAACATGACAAAGATAATGCTAATGTAACATCCATCCATTATCTGCACCTGCTTATCTTGTGCAGGGTAAGCCTATCCTAGAAGCTATAGGCACAAGGCAGGGAATAAACCAGCCAACCCACTGGAGGGTCGAACGCACACAATTCACTAGTCAACTCCAATTAATTTCACCTTAGCATGGTAGACTGTAAGGGGGCCCAGAGAACCCAAAGAAAACTCTACACACATGGAGCCAGGTCAGAGACTTGAACCCTAGTCTTCAAGGCGCGAGGCAACAGGGCTAAACACTGCCCCCCTAATGTAACATCTATGTAGTAAATAACAAATATCCAGCAGCCCACCCTCCCCCCTCCATTCACAAAGCTGTATACAGCAAGACCCTGGAAGCACCTTCATCATGAACAACAAGCAGATAGCGTTTTGAAATTACATGCAGCTAAGTGCAAGGTATCAGCTCTGAGATGCTTCCTGCATAGTAGAGTGAAGTGGCATAGGACAGCCCACATCATATCTGTCTGTCGCCCGTCCCCATCGAGATTCAATTAAGCCCATAATCTGTTGCCAGCACAGAGATGATAATGTGGTGAGAGAAAGGGGGCAGAGAGCATCAGAAAACTTTTGGGACCTGCTAGGCCAATACCCCAAAGGCACTACTGCTCCCCTGGATGCCTCATCCTATGGAAACACTCGGCTAGAAGTGAAATAAGGACCAACTTGTGTGCTTGTTCTTTTGATGACTTCATCACCAATGTCCCACACTTTTCAAACTATGGAAGGTCACCCAGTTTCAGCTCTCATGGGAGTTCAACTTTCACAAGAAAACAGGATTTACAAGCAGTCGTTGCTACTTTGGGGAAATCGGGATGCACATGCACACTGGTTTTATTCATTTACAGGAACAGCAGGGCACAGTGGCTTTACTGCATTGCACCACCAGAGCTGTAGACTTGAATCCTTTCTGTGGACACTCTGGTTCTGCTTTCCCTCAATCCAAAGACATGTGGCTAGGTGAATAGGTGTTTCTAAACTGCCTTGTTTACCTGTGATGCTTTAATAGCCTGTCCTGGGTGTGCCCTATGCTACCTGGAATTTGGAATTTTGGGTGCTTTTGCATTCTAGCGACTGTCACCATCACTCTCATCATCACTTTGTTTGGGCATTTAATGATTCTTAGATAACATGCAAGAAATCCTTAACACAAATCTTGTAAACACTAAGAAGCATAAATCTGGTTATTAATAATTATCTGTTATTCTCCTGACAACACTATGGCACCCACTGTTGCTATTAATGGTAAGAAAACACATTGTCCTACCATTGTTGATTCAACAGAACAGGACCCCTTGAGGCAATGTATAAACTTTCCAACAGAGTACAAATTGGAGTGACTGTGTTGTGATAACAGGCACTATCACACCCCTGACATGTTCCCCCATTATAACGGCTTGTCTACATAGTGAGATAGGAAAGTCACATCCACAGTTGAACCTTCTAGTTAAGTATCTATAAATTAGATTTTTTGGAGCTGAGAAGTTCCTGGTTTAAAATAGGAACGACCTCAAGCAAAGAGTTCCTGATACCAGGCCTGATTCCAGCTCTCTGTAACTGGGTGGGCCGAGAAGAGTTTAGGGGGTTGGAAATTATATAAATATATATTAAGAAGAATATAGATTCTGAGGTTGTATACACAAATACACACGTGTGTGTGTGTGTGTGTGTCAGATATACATTACATTGTGGGGACCAAATGCCCCCACAGTGTGGTAAAAACCTGTTATTTTGACATTGTGGGGACCAATTTTTTGGTCCCCAGAAGGGGAAATTCAATTTTATAAATTGCCAAATTGCCAAAAGACTTTGTTTAGGTTACTTATGGTTAAGGTTAAGGCTGGGTAGGGGTTAATGTTGTCATAGCTGGCATTAGGGTTTTGCCCATAAAGATGAATGCACATTCCCCACAAAGATATGAGTACAGGCCTCTGTGTGTGTGTATGTATGTGTGTGTGTGTGTGTGTGTGTGTGTGTGTACACACACGTAATAACAGATAATTATTATTATTATTATTATTTTTTTTTTATTGCCCACCACCACCCCACCTCTTCGGAGGACAACTTTATTTTACATTACATTCAAGAGCAA